AGATTGTAATGAAAACGAAAGTCTTAGACTGAGATTGGTTCTTAGAGTTTTTGAGAAACATTCTCATCGTCCCCCAAAATTTGCGTCAATATGTTATAATGAGACCTGATAGCTTATACCTTTCAAAAATGGTGTTGTATACGGTGCTCAATTATGCGTGCGTAGCCAACTGCATCTTAAACACGAAATGTATAGGAATCATGTTCCGATCATTGAAAATGGATGAATCTTCGCGGGTGAAGGTGCTCACTTTGTTTCGACTTAATAATTTTGGAACGTTTTTGAGTGTTAGTTTTCGAATTCTGTTTGAGTTGTGAGTTTTTTTTGTGGCCGGAACCTTCTATGCTACTTGCATAATTTACCCTGAAACTTAGGTGAAACTTATAATATTCAGAATGGGTTGAGTGCTATATCAAAGCCATGATTCGAACAACATTGAAAAATTCTCAAAAATTTCGAGCGTGGAAGGCGATCGAGTACCGTTGTTAATATCCTCGCAATTAGCAAGAAGGTTGCAGCTGGGCATTAGACTTTTTTCCCGTAAATAACCTTGTTCACAAGATTTCGCTCATGAAAATATTATACGTTTTTCAACTTGCGTCAAACTAACCTAAAATTTGAGCAACTATCTAGCGCATCGAGCATACTGGTAACACACTTGATGAGGACGAAAAATACTTGTTATTCGTTTCCAGTAGAGAACCGTTTTTTGGCAAGCTAGAATTTTTGGGTTAATGTCCGTGTGTTCATTTTTGTCGGCTTAGTTCCCACAGACCGACTCTTTTTAAAAGTTCAGCTTTCTTCAAACTTTTGGAATGCCATTTCTAAAGAGACCCATTGGTGGAGGTTATTAAGTTTTTTACTTTGACTTTTCAAAAAAAACTTAGGATTTTTTTTTCAAATTCTGCAAGACCTTTTAAACTTTTTTTTTTAGCTCTGTCGACTAATGAGCACAGAATTTTTACGCATGCGATTATTATGCTCGCGATAATCAAGCGTTATCAATTTGGAGCACCCTTTTTTGTAAATAACTTGTCCAATATAATCACGAAACCATTTTCTAAAATCAGCAATTTCATCAACCAACAGACATCAATTGGAATAAATTTCGTTTGTTAGCTTAGTGGCTGATACTTGATTGGTTCAGTGGCCTCATATAACGCTGTTCAATAAGCCGAACAATTTTGTTGCGAGCGTGAGCTTTTAATGACTTTTGGTTGGCTCAACGGGTTTCTGCTCAAAAATTGTCGGCTTTGTTACCACTTCGTAAAACTGCACAACTGTTTTATTCATGACAACTTATTCTTATACCTAACTTTGTGACTAAATACACGTTTCTATAACTCTCTCATCACATCGCCTACAAAAAATTACACTTTTTTGAATGAAAAAGTTTTTTATGAAACTTGTTGGATCATTCTTTGCTACTTGCACATGAACTATATTTGTTGCTTTTTGCTTCAGATATATTAAGAAGCTAGACGTCTGAATCTGAAACTGCAAAAATTTGAACAGCCTCTCGTACGCAAGAAACTTTTTTGTTAATTTTTGGATGAAAAGCTCCTAACCTTGAGCATCTCAATGAAAAATCACAAAACTAATAAAAAGTTCCTTGCGTTCGAGAGGCTGTTCAAAGTACTCAGAAAATTTGAAATTTTTACCAAAAAATTACAAGTCCATATCAGCGTTCCGTAATCTCATACATTCATAAAAGCGCCTTTAACATATATTCAAGTAAATTCTCTAAATTCGTATTACATTTTGCTTAATTTAGAGCAAAAAGTCAAAAACAGCTAATGGTAGAGAAATCGAACAAAATATGCACGGACGCACGTAAGTTTTCCCACGCCTCCCTGTTTCAATCGATGAAATAAATCGACTGAACAATTTAATTCAAAACCTCAATGCTAAAAGACAAGTTGGTACCTTCCAAACTCCAAGAGTTTAACCCAGAAGTCACAGTCCACGTATATAAGTTTTAATTGAATTTTTATGAAAAACTAACAAAATTAGCTTGATTATAAACCAGGTCAAAACTTGAACTATTTTGCTTTCGAAGACGTAATAAAGCCAGATATCAGAGCTTTTCTTGACGTGGAAACATTCTCGCAAACAACGTGTAAAATTTGAATCCATGAACTCAAATTTGTTTTTTGTGAAAATGATGAGCTTGGCTTACTGTTTATACCGCGGAAAAACGACAAAGAATTATTGAAAGAGTGACTTGGTCCGGCGTCAAACTGATTTGAAGACACATACATAGCCGCTTGTTAGCTTATAGAGGCGGAATTTGAGCATCATGAGATTCAGCATACAACGAAGCAGTCAGTTTTCCAAAAAAAGTTACTGGAGCTTCTTTTTCATTTGCTCATTTCGTTCATTCGCGTGAAATTACGTACATATATTCAACCTTTTTTTGACGCTGGACCAACTCATTTTTTCAATTATTCTCTCTATCACTTTTCCGCGGTATAGAGAGTAAGTTAAACTCTTCAGCTTCCCTTTCTTTCTTTTTGTTTTCCACGCTTTCTTTATGTTCCCCACGTTTTTTCTTCCTATTTGTTTTCCACGCAAAATCAGCTAGCACAAATTATTGCCGAAGAGAGTTGAGTCATATATCATTTTGAAGCCTTTCAGTCGTGATTTGATTGACATTTAAAAATTTTGAAAACTTTTTCTCAATGTCAAGAAGAAAAAAAGCGGTTTGGAGATTTTGATTTTGCAAACAAAATCAAGCGAGAAGAGCGAGCGAGTACGCTTAATTATATTTATTTCAGGCCGTTTACAATAGCTTAATTATGCCTATTTTTCATGTTACTCGAGTAAAATTGGTTTTTGGAAATTTCTAATGCGCATTTTTTTTTGCTTTTTTTTGGATTTCATTTGGTTTCTTGTCATTTTTTTTTCAAAAACTGATTTCCTGATTGCCTATATTGCTATAATTGTCAAATATGCCTAAGTAATACTTGTACGTCAGA